AAACGGTAAGTCCCCACCTGCCAGGATCAAAATAGAGTTAGGTGACATCTACAACGTCGGCTCACGAAGAGCCTCAAAAAGGACCGTGAGAACTGGTGAAATGGAAATAGCAGCTGCATCAGGGAGTAGTCAAAGACTGTTCCGACTGATACGCAACACGGGAGGTCGGCGAACCTCAGTTAGTGAAACAGTCTGCGATAAGAGGGAACGAGCTATTCACAATAGGGATTTACGACTCGATCGCTAGGCAGAATACTTCAACGAACAGTTCAGCTGGCCTAGTGCTGCTTCATCTCCGACTGAAGCTCCGTGGGCAGTGTCCTCCAACGGAAGCAGTAGTTCGGTCTTGCATTCAATCCCTGAAGCAAGGAAAGGCAGCAGGACCGGATGAGCTCTCTCCCACTCTCTTCAAGATGGGAGGTAATTACCTCGTAACCTCTGTTACTACCCTACTACTGCGCAGCATTTGGATGCAAGAGTGCATTCCTTCATCTTGGGCCGAATCACTGATCGTTCCCATTTTCAAGAAAGGGTCTCTCAATGATTGCGAAAACCACCGCGGGATAAGTTTGATCCCGATCGTCACCAAAGTGCTAGCTTCGGTTATACTTCGACGTCTGACGCCTTTAAGAGAGACCAACACCTGTGAACAGCAAACCGGATTCCGGCCTGACCATGGATGTATTGATCAGATTTTTACGTTGTGTTAGATCCTTGAGCTGGCCAACGATCGCAGTGTTCCTTGACCTGAAAGGAGAATTCGACTCAGTTGGCCGCGAAGCTCTGATGGGCTCCCTTCTTCGAAAAGGAATGCCCCAGAAGTACGTTAACCTACTGAGGTCACTGTACTCACATACCTCCGGTCGTGTAAGGGTCTGCAACGAACTAAGTAGGCCGTTCATCGCCAGCAGCGGCGTTCGTCAAGGGTGCCCACTTTCGCCAGTCCTGTTCAATTTCGTCGTAGACGAAATACTGGAGAACGCACTGAGGGGACTCCAAAACGTAGGTATTAAATGGACAGCTGGAGAAAAGCTATGCGGTTTGGAGTACGCCGATGATATCGTCTGTCTGTTCGAATGTATGGAGGACGCACAAAGTGCACTTGATAGATTAAAAAGTGCAATTGCCACATTCGGTATGTGCTTTGCACCTTCAATGTGCCAAGTGATGCTGCAGGACTGGGTTTCGTCTACTCCCACTGACACTAAATGGCCAGGATTTAGTTGTGTTAGATCCCTTTTACTACTTAGGTTATTGCGTGACCAATGACAGTAGTGCAGCAAAGGAGATAACCGCCCGCATTTCCAAGGCTCGAGCAGCATACGCAGGACTGATACACCTTTGGCGTAGACGCGACGTTTCACCGAAGTTGAAAGGTTGTGTAGATTGTGCTAGTGTTCGTTCAGTCCTGCTTTATGGTTGTGAGACGCTGAATTTGCGAGTAGAAGATATTCGTAGACTAGAAGTTTTCGATTATCGGTGTTTACGCAGTTTAGCCCATGTTGGATGGAGCGAACGGGTTAGTCACGTGGAGGTAAGCCGTTGTGTGTTTGGGAGTCTGTCAGGCATAAACCTGCTAGCATACCTAATTCAGATTACTGAGCTTCGGTGGCTAGGGCACGTATTGCGTATGCCCAGCCATCGTCTACCGCACCGCGCTTTATTCGCTGTAGCTAATCCGGGCTGGAGGAAACCACGCGGAGGTCAACAGATGACGTGGAGACGGGGCATGAAGAAATGTACAGAGCCATTAGGTGGAGTAGGTGTCTCTCGCTCCTTCCAGATTGGGGTCCGAAAGACCCCACAAATGGTTGGTTGGAGACACTGAAGGATATGGCAGCCAACCGGCAGCAGTAGCGTTCTTGTTGTCGTTTCTTATCAGGCCAGGATGCTCGAAACGTTATGTATGCAGAGTTCGATTGCGTACCGTGTGTTGACCATAGTGGCTCATCTTCTCCCTTCCTCAAAATAGATCCAACCCCTGTCCACCTTAAATTTTATCACTAACCTTATATGCATTGTGAGTTTGGCAGCGGTCAGTGAAGTTCGCTTCACGGTATTTCGCTGTACGATAATGATGATGATGCTTGTCAGTTGCAGGTCTAGGACAGGTAACGAGCCAATAATCTCACATTCCAAAGTGAACTTGATATTGTTGTGCATCCCGTTCAATTTGTTGAACAAAACTGATAAGCATTTAGTAGAACAGACTTTATTATCGTACGAAAAACCGATCTAGCACTACACCGTTTGTCATATAGACTGAACTATTTTTTATTTATAAGCCCTTACAAATTCTTCAAAGCCAGCAACCACCACTGAACAGTAGGTCCTCGGTTTACCCCGTCTGCTGTTCATCACACTTGGGTGTGTAATAAAAAGAAATTAAAAAAACGGAATTAATCCCCTTATTTGGACTTCTTATTCACTTTATGACATTCAGTGATAGTCAAGTGGCCTCTATTTGACGGCTGTACCCTGTTCCTTTCAGTTCAAGGTTTGAATCCTACCACCACTACCTTGTGATAACTGTTATCTTCGCTGTCATCCGTTTCAGTTCCAGGCTGAACATATGGTACTTATATGTATGGTTTCACCGTCTTTTGTTTTCCACATTGGGTTCATAGTAAAAAGTAAGTGACATTGGGCCATCAACACGGACAAGATGAATTTCTTTCCAATATTCGCTTTTGGCTTAAAAGCCTACGATGCCCGCTGAGTACTCTGCTTTTCCTAACTTTGTCAATATCTGTTTTTGTTGTGGTATCTTCTTCTCGTTCTTCGAAACAGGAATGTTATTCGAAACTGAACGTAGTCAGTGGTTCAGTTGAACGTCATGAATCGGTTCTCTACGGTTTCGATTAAGTTCGGTACCTAATCGTAGAAGTTGCAAATACTAGTTGGTTATTTTTCTGTAACAGCCCGTCGTCGTTAGTGTGTCACAATGCATCCCGTTTTCCAGCTTTACGCGTTTTTTTGCGATGGGGCTAAATGAATCAGTGTTTACTAACGGTTGATGTACGTTTCGCCATGCCACTGAATGGGCTTTCTTGGTGGGCGATGTTTGCCGAAACAGATAGTGGATGGGAAAAGGTTCAGAATGGCCAAACCCAGCATAATGGTATGAAAATCACCACTTGGACATTTAGGCCGAGTTCCAGGTTGAGGACCTCGAGATCGCTGATTAGAAACACCAAGAGATGATAGTGTTTTAAACAGTGGCACTCGTGCACCTACTGAATTTTTAGAATTCAGTTCAACTGTATTGTGTCTTTACCTCGGTACTACTTCCATCTTTCTACTTCTCTCGCCTACCTCGTCACTTTAATAGGCAACGGAAAGACAGCAACCAAAGCCTCAACTAGAAAGTGCCAGTTTAATAATTGTATAAGCTGAAACTGATCACCCATTCGCAGTATTTTTCTCCCATTCTTCCTTTGTTTCCCATTTGTTTTATTTTAGGTGTTCTTCGTTAAATACAACGATCCGATTTACGTCAAACTGGAGAAATTGGATATCATGATTCGTTTGATTAATTCTTCCAACATTGGACAAGTGTTAGCCGAACTGAAAGAATATGCCAAAGAGGTGGATGTGGATTTTGTGCGCAAGGCAGTTCGTGCTATCGGTCGGTGTGCGATCAAAATCGAATCTGCAGCCGAACGTTGTGTGAGCACACTGATCGAGCTTATCCAGACAAAAGTGAACTATGTTGTACAAGAAGCTATCATCGTCATCAAGGTAATTTTTTCAATCATAGTTGTCAGAGTGGTTTTCCGATGGAACATTTCAGCTTAAAATGCTCTTCGGTCCACAGGTATTTACATCCAACTCACAGTTACTTATGAGTACTGGTGTGGGATAAATGATGATGGTTTGACTGATCGTACTGCACTTTTCATATTTAATACCCAGTTCGCTCAGTCAACCATATACTATTTCATTTTTACTTCCTTTTGTTGAATATAAAAAGATACAATTTTCAGGAAGGGTAAGCGGCTAATCAAAGGACTGGCATACAACACAATGGGTAAAGCCAGGCGGTAGTTGTAGGATTCGAACACGCCCTCTGTGATGATAATTTGATGACGTTACCACCACCACTAGAGATGAACTTGAACTCACGGATGGCGTATGTACACCTACCCTTCCGGTATTGGAATCTGTCAGATGTCAGTTCATTTACACTGACAGGAGACTCAATAAACTCTGTTGAAATTCCCTTATCAACTCAGTTTAAACGAGCTTATCTAATAAAACCAGTTTAGCAATATATTTTGACATTTGACTCTTGAGTCTATGTTTAGCTGAATGAACTGATGACGCGTGAACATAAAGTGTGAGGGTTGGTACGTCCAGTAAAAAACGGGTATTCCCAGTTCTTTTATTTGTTATCCATGCACCAGTGGTTGCTTTATCTGATCAATTGTCTGCTTTTAGAACATACTTTCTAGTTTGCTACTGGTACTCTGCAAGGACGCAAATTCCATACTGTTTTATTCCTAGGTTGCGTGTTTGTTTTACCGTATACTGTTTGGTATTTTTTGTTTATCTTTTTGTGGTCTACGGGATTACAACAGGCAGACCGGACAACATTCGTGCCACTGACTCCTACTCCGAACTGTATCTGTCTGTATCTCTTGTCGAAGAGAATCCTCATCCCTTAGGCCCCAACCTGCAAGGCGGGTTGCACCAACTACGACCAATGACGTCGTGTCATAATGTAACCACTGCCGATTCATCCAGCACGTGCAAAGAGAGCGCGGAATGACAGGTGATAGGTAAGCATACGCAAAACGTGACCGAGCCGTCGGAGGTGATGTAGAGGGATTACTTCTTTTAGGGAACGACTATCATCACCCAACACACGACGATGAATCTCGTCATTGCTCACATGATGTTCCCACCAGACACGAGCAATACTTCGAAGTAATCGGTTGTCGAATAGAGCTAGCCGATTGGCATCCTCAACGCAGAGGGGCCGGGTCTCGCAACCGTAAAACAGAACACTACAAATCACAGCGATGTACACCCTTTCCTTAAGAAAGAGTCGTAAATCACAGCGATACCACAGGTGTCACCTCCCAACATCACTTACAGATGCGTTCGAACTTCCTAGGTGCTTAAAGCTTTCAACTAATTCCAGTTGATTACCCAGGGTGAGTGAAGGTATAGGATCCTATCAGTCTTAAACAAGTCTTTTGCACTTAGATGGTACAGAGTAAATGCCATATCTAGATACCTCAATCGCGAAGCGGTAAAAAGCAGGCTGGACTTACTCTGTGTTTTCATCCAGCAAGGGGATATCATCGGTATATTCCAAGTCAAGGCAGCATACTATAAGGTTTTCTTGGAAAAAGATTAGGTCTTACATCATTGTTTGAGTCACTAATTTTTCCGGTGGTCTTCACAGCACAATCCATTTGTTTGTTGAGTGATGTGCTGAGTTGGGATGGTTGTTTGTTGCAAAAACAAAGGGCATTTCCTTTCGGTATCATCTGTTGGTTATTGTTATTATATTTAGGTGGTGAGCAGCTTTGCTATCCTCCGGTTCAATACCACGCCTAACCTATCGGGGTCCTATGTGGTGGGTCACGACAAGTCCCGGGGTATAGGTTACCAGTTTTCGTGACTGAACAGCAGGTCCTCGTAACTCCGTCTGCTGTTCATCCTGCTAACGTCTGTAGTTAAAAAGTCCCCACGGCCTCATCAGTTTTAATTTGTAAATGTGTGTTCTATTTCTATTTGGCGTTTCTTCAGATGTGTCCAGTGTACCACAAGCGATGCTTGTTTAATCGATCATTTTTTAAATTTTATTCCGTTTCGTTCATCTTAGGACATATTCCGAAAGTATCCAAACAAATACGAAAGTATCATCTCCATTTTGTGTGAAAATTTGGACACATTGGACGAACCGGAAGCGCGAGCCTCAATGATTTGGATCATTGGTGAATACGCGGAGCGCATTGACAACGCCGACGAATTGTTGGAGTCTTTCCTAGATGGATTCCAAGATGAAAATACCCAAGTGCAGTTGCAATTGTTGACAGCCATTGTGAAGCTGTTTCTTAAGCGACCCTCAGATACACAGGTAAAAAATTGGGTGCAGTAGTGTTTTACTCTTTCGTACCTTGTACAGTTGGCATAATTTGTATTTTCACTGTTGAATGCTCTACTTGTTTTAAAATCATTTATTCGTTCAGGGCTTCGGAATAATTTCTTGTCTTATTGCTCTTCATTTTTTATTCATATATACTGCAGAATTATTCTGGTTTGGGTAAAATAAGCATGCTTAAAATTGAGCTTAAGAAGTAAAACTCCTATTGCCTGTATTATCGTTATTGAATCATAGGGAAAGGAACGTTGAATGAAAATATCTAACTTCTCAATTAATAAATTCACTCTCAAACTGTAACAAAGATCGTTTTTATACATCCGAATGCGGTCATCGTGTTTTTTTCCCCTTGTCAGTTGTTATGATTCTGATATCCCGCCTTTCAGAGCACCTTAGATATCAAGACCGATTCACGCAATAACTCACTTGTCTTATATTCCACTACTCTAAACACCAAAACTGAGATTGATGGTCCTCCTTGATTTACCGCCATTCCTTATTGATGCTGTTTGTCTACATTCAACGTTGCTGTCTTTCTGCTATTCTTCATCCAAATGAGCAGCCAAAACCGGCGCACGAAGGTGCTTGGTTAATGGTTGTACAAACTGAACTGTTGTTTGTTTAACCGAATTCCTACTTAGTAGAAGATTATTTTGGCAATTTTACAAAAAAGCGCCGCATTGTGGTACCCGAAGTAGCTCAAATAGACTTGCTTACGAAATTCTCTATGAAAGAAGTTTTACCTCTAAGTACGGTTTAATCCTTCTTAAATTTCCGCCCTCAAAAATGTCACGAGAGCTATACATGGTTTATTTTCTGTTTTGCTTGCTTGAATGTGGTTTGGTTCTTTTGTCCTTGCAGGAGCTAGTTCAAACTGTGCTCGGTCTGGCTACGCAAGAATCAGACAATCCGGACTTACGTGATCGTGGTTACATTTACTGGCGTCTACTATCTACAGATCCAGGTGCTGCAAAAGAAGTTGTCCTGGCTGAGAAACCTCTAATTTCGGAGGAGACAGATATGTTAGAACCGACTTTGTTAGACGAATTGATCTGTCATTTGGCCAGCCTGGCTAGCGTCTATCACCGACCACCAAGTTCGTTTGTTGAAGGCCGTCACGTTGCACGTCGCCAGTTACCCGCCCGTGTAGGTCACATGGGAGCAGCTGGTGAAGCTGGTACGGGCAAAGATGTCGTCGTCTCAGGAACGACAGCACCAACGGTGATCCCCACTCAGGTAGACGAGATTTATTACATTTTTACCTAAAAGACAGTTTTTTTAATGAATAACAATCGGAAAAATCATTCGGTTGAAGTGCAATCGTATTTTGCTCAGTTCGATTTAATGGTTAGTTACTCCCTCGCACTCAAGATCACTCTAAAGCGGAGTCATGTTCAGCCCCTCAGTTCAATAGTGTGAACAATTAAGTTGCACACTTCCATCAATAAACCACTTTCATTAAGGAAACGGGGTCATCTGATGAAAAATAAGTTATGGTTCTGTTCAGTGAACAAGCCTACACTCCAACAGATTTACCAAAAGCTCTAAGTCGAGTGTTATGCTTACCACCAAACGAGTGTTGGAGCAGGAGTCGCGGGGTGCGCAATGGTTTGAAGTCTTAGCCACTTTTCTGCTACTTGCTTACAAATATGTATCGTTTCGGTTGTGACTATAGTGTTTGATCATTCTGTAGTGTCCCTAAACATTTGTAATTATGCAGGGTTGTGCAGTAAGTTAATGACACTGACAGTATTCGGAACTTGTATCGTTTCAGTGTTTCATCAACAGTTCAGTATTTTCTTTGCTTATGGTTCGCACTTTCTAGTGTATTACTTTGCGTAATATGATCATTTGAAATTCAGATGTGCTCACCTTTCAGTAAACATTCCCGTCCGTGAAATGGAATCTGCTACATTCACTTATGAGTCCTCCACGGAACAGTAGGTTACCCACCTCTGGTGCATTGTTTTCTTTGAAGTAGTTAAATAGCAATTTTCCCACTGCATACAGCGCATTTGATGATTGCGTCATAACCTTCTCTGATTGGCAATTCTTCATTTTCTAGGAAACGCTGATTGGTGATTTGTTGGATATTGATCTGGGTGGGAAACCGACCGCATATGATGCACCCCAGTCACAATACTCGGGCTCTCTGCTAACCGGAGGCCCACTAACCACTGTCGTCCCCGATCTGCTGGGCGATGGTTTGGATGATCTGATCCCGTCTGGCAGCGGTGCTGTTGGTGACCGAGCACCCGCCATTGGTAAATGTCTATGTGATATTTTTGATTCCCACATAATTGGCACGAGTCAGCAAATCCTTTCCTAAAATACGAAAGTGATTTTTTTATGACACACGAAGTGATTTACAGCAAAAGAGTAAACCATCGTCAATACACTTAACCCTTATCTGTTGCTGGTTGCTTTTCCGCTTTTCTTTCAGATCGTGTTTCTTATTTTGCTATATTCAATAAATATTGGTTAACAACCTTTTCCCCATTGGATTTTGTCCATACTCCATCCGGTTTGTTTGTGTGCTTGTTGCGTGAGGGTGAACTGGATTCGTGCGCAGAAGTCCTTATGTGTTTCTTACCTGTTTCGGTTGAAATGCAACATCGTGTAAGCAATTCGGTTCCTCCGACTTCACCTCCTTGACCGCTTATGCACAGTATGCTTGATCACCAGATGATCTCAGTCACTTGACCAGTTAACGGGAGTTTGAGGTTTAGACAGGTTCATTTAATAAGATCATTCCCTAATAACCATTTTTAAATATCAATTATCCTACATTATCGAATTCAAGTTAGCTGGTTCTCATTGTTTTAACCTGATTCAGGTACCCTGTCCACCGCAGACGCGCTGGCGGACCTATTCGGTGGCCTCGATCCGACCGGAACTGATTCTAGTTCCGGGATTCCCGATCCAACTCCGACCACCTGGCTAGAGGCCAGTCGTGGCAAGGGTTTGGAGATTCAGGGCGCGTTCTATCGGCAAACAGCCAACGGTCAATTGAATATGAAATTGGTATTTGTGAACCACGCGTTGAGTGCTATGACCGATTTCGCGATTCAGTTCAACCGGAACAGCTTCGGTTTGACTCCAGCAAAACCCTTAAATATCGCCGCCCCACTCCAACCTCGACAACCATTGACAGTGGTCTTGCCGCTTGCCACTAATGGTCCGGTAGCAAAAATGGACCCGCTTATGCAATTGCAAGTGAGTTTCGCACTAAAAATTGAGTGACAGTCCGCAGTGTTCGTCCTAATAGAAGTATACTTGTACTCGGTAACGTATCAACTCAAACGCAGTTTTTTCTTTTTCCTTGTATTATTCATTCTTTCCACCTGCATAAACATACACTATCATGCAACGGTTTTGGTTGTCCATTTGGTCGACCACGGAGGTATAATTAAAAGAAAGGTTTTTAAAATCGCAAGCCGTATTTACATAAGGGTACAGAAAGAAATCGAAGGTCTGCATAGAAAGTTGATAGGTGTGCAACCGCAACTGTTCACGACATAGCCATATCACCCAGTGTTTCTAATAATCCATTAGACTGATCCTGACGTCTGCATCTAGGAAGTCTAGCGAGACCTTTATTGACAAGTCCCCTGCTCAGGACTTTCACATTCTCACACCCACCTCTGATTTTGACTACTCTTCGCAGTTTTTCCACTCACTTCATACCTTGGCAAACCGCCTGTCGCGAAAGCCTATCCGATGAAATGCGCAAAACATATCCGAAACATCGAAATCTTTGGAATCCAAGCATCTGCGTTGGTGGTTGAAAATAATTGCTTAGTTATTTTTGTCCACTTATCCTCAGCAATAATTATCTGGTTGTCTCACCAGCCGCATGCAGTACAGTCTGCGTTTATCTTCCTCCCTTAACGGAAACGCACAAACACTCAGATCGGTACACGAGGTACACGGTATCTGCACAGGTTGTGGTCAGGTTCATGCCACAGTAAATGCATTTAGCACATCTAGAAGCCTTCAAAAAGCGCTAGTTTCTCAGAGGTCGGGTGAGACTTCGTTCCCATCCCTGCTAGCTTCTTGTGATACGAGTGAGTGGGCTAAAACCAATGTGGAGTCATAGCCGAGTTAATAAGTCAAGAGCCGGTTAACTCACCGGCAGTAGGTGAGCTAAAAAACCTTTTTAAACCGGTCGTAGTTGCACAGATATGTAACTGCATGTCCAATCACCCTCGTCACTTGCTGTATTTTCTTCACCTTTATATTTTCCCTTTTTCGCCTACAATAGATTGCTGTCAAGAACAACGTGGACGTGTTCTACTTCGCCACTATGGTGCCTATGCAAGTGTTGTTCGTGGAAGATGGAGAAATGGAGAAACGAGTGTTCCTGGCTACCTGGAAGGATATTCCCAGTGAAAGTGAACAGCAGTTCACATTAAATCAAGTCAATCTGACGGCAGGTAATTCGCGACCCCTATATTCCATGTTCCATCACAATCACAGCACACTCTTTAAGTTTGATATTTCGGCTCAGTGCTGCGGACTGTACACTGTTAAAGACAATAAAATAGAAGTGAAGTTGTTAGAATTATTATTTCAAAGACCATAACAAAGATTTTCTTTTGAGACTGACTATCTCACAGATAAGTCAGCACAGAATGTATTATGGGGTATGTTGCGTAGGTCCTAGAACCTCCGGTCTGTATGNTCTGTATGCCTAGAAAGCGCAATCAACTTAGCATAATAGAATGCTTTAATTTGGGCGATGTTTCTCGTTTCACTGTGTCAAACGCTATATGCGTGCATTGTAATGCCTTCCTGGTTGCACTTTTTGGCAAGTCATATCATATGTTTGCTCCGGTAACCGGTCAATTACTGTTCTCGATTTTTTATCTGATGTTCTATTTATTTGCCCATTTTCTTTGTCATTTGCATTAATTCCAAGGGCTTTTGTCCAAACAGTAATTGATTGTGACCACTTGTCCTCCTCTTTCCGAAAATCGGTTCAGTTGACCATGGCTGTCAATTTCTTTGTCATTGCATTTCGGAAAGCATGGGACACTTTTGTCAACGGCATATCGATTCTGACAAGATTCTATATGACCGTCAAAAATTCCGTAGGTGGATTTTGTTGTCTGTTTCTTATCGATCAAGTGTCGTATACAGCTGTGCGTGCAGACAGACACACGATGATGCTAATGCAAGCACAACAACTCCGGCTCTGGGGGGGGGGGGGGGGGGTTGTNAGTGGTTGATTATGCTTGCATCCGCACAGTGAAAGGTCAACTAGAGATTCCGGTTTACTGAAACATCAGGAATATACACATGGCTGTTGTTTTGTTTGACTTGCGTATGGTTGCTCGCCATTCTAAATCACAGGGCTTAGGTTTTCGTTGTCTTCGAGGCTTTGGGGGTTGCCCGTTACTGTTCATTACACAGTGGTGTGTAATGAAAATTGCTTTTGAGCAGTAGGTTGTTTATTATGGGCCTTATGCAAGTCATTGCGATTTTATTACTATATTCAAGTTTGGTCACCATTTTTGGTATCCACTCCACGGTTGAGCCGTCGACTTGTATGCAGTAATGGAATGAGTTAAGCTGTCGTCTCTTGTATCGTGGCAGACAACCCGACTGTTGTCCAGTTTAATAATACACATCCTACTACTATCTTATATTGTTCCGCGCTTCAAGTTCCTGGCTGTCGGTTTCGATACTCGAACAGTAGATTGATCCTTGTAAGCCTGATACATCAACATTTTTGTGGGTCACCACATGTATGCCACACACCTCTGAGGCTAGACTGTGTGCCAAACAAATCACGGTATAATAATCTTTGTAAAAGAGAAAAACGTTCTGTGATTTGTTTGTGGGCGGAATACTACCAGGTTATCAAACCAAGGTCAATTTTCTTGGGGAATCCACGACCGGAGCCTTTGACTAGCCAAAGCCTGACCCGCAAGGTAGCGGAGCGGTGTGCACAAAACCACAGGGAATGAAATCCACTTTTGTCGGTGTTTGAAGTTCATGTCATAATCAGTTCATAAATTTGATCGAAGCTTCAATCCTGTACCCTAAATTCCGTGTTACAATGGTTGAATGTATTTCGATCCGACGGATTAAATGGTTGTGACTGGGAGCCGATTTTGTAACCCTGTCACTGGCACTCAACTCGAGCGATAAAAATTTGCCGTTCATCCGGTTTAGGACTACGCTTATCTTGTTGGTGTTTCATCTACTTCGATGCACCGTGTTGTACGCCTTAAATTGCCGGTTTTCACAACTGAACATCAAGTGGCCGTGACTATGGGATTTACCCCTCTTGCAATGATTTGTATGAAAGTTTTTAATCTGCAGCTTTTTGTCCGTGTATTTTATTTCTCACTAAAAGTGCATAAATCAGGTAAGCAATCTCAAACCAAACTTAGAATTTTTACCTTGATTGGTCACCTAGGGTCGATCATCACTGTTTACGTAGACTGCATGGATGCTCATATCATGCGGTATCTAGACAACTAAAATACTTTAAAACGTTTCATTAGTCCCACAGAACACATTGAGAACAACAACGTCGCGAACAAGCTCGTTTCTAGTTATTCGTAATCATGCCGTTACATAACGTTAAATGTGGCTAACAATAAGTGCAAACAAGGAATGATTGAATCTAGTCCAAATGTTTCAGCCCCAGCTCCTATCATGCGTGCATGTGTACTGGTGTGAAATTGATTACGGTGTCAAAATACTTTCAATGAGCTACCTGAATTGATTCTATTTTTCTAGCACACGTCTGCCCATTAGACATTATGTCCGATGATCATGGTCACCAAATTGCATACGGATTTCACGGTTAGCTCATTGAATTGAATCATCTCGTGTACTGTAATGGCAGAGAGACTAAGGAAAACCGCATGGTTTGTGCTATTCTACCACGGCTTGCCGCATGACACTGTCAAACCAATCAGTTTTTTTCCTGTGAACTGATGTTTTACCAAATGCCATCAGTGTCTGATTTGCTTGTTACTTTTCGGTTTGTGCCTCACTCTCTCTCGACCACCCACACCCTCCGTCCTAAACTCCTTTTTGTGATCTACTGTCACAGATGCTTGCAGTCGTCATTTACAGCAGGCTAACATATTTACTGTGGCTAAGCGCAACGTTGACGGACAGGATATGCACTACTTGTCCATGAAAACTACAAATAACATTTGGATTCTTGCGGAATTGAAAATTCAACCGGGTAATCCTTCATTTACGGTAAGTTTATGCAGTGCTGCTTTATTTCAACACATTGGTTAACTTAAGCTGCAGAGCTACCGGAATCCTCAGTTGTCGGACGATACTCGAATGATCTTGAGCGAACTGCTCTATAAGGCATGCGCGTGTCGTTTTGCGTGTACCGTTGTGCTCCAAGTGTCACGTATCACTTGCGCGTGTTGTTTCTTTTCCTTACAGTTGGTTGAAATGAAACGCTTGCGAATCGTGTAGAATACAAGCTGTTTTAGAGGTGTGAATGCTCGACTGAATTTTTTTCGGTTTTTGTTGCTTCCATTTTGGTATAGGCGAATCACGTGACATCCCACATGTGGTTAGCTGCTCATGGTCAATGAATCGCTGTACCTACTCCAATTTCGATAGCCTATCCGTCCGGGGAATGTGTATAGATGTTGGATTTTTTTAAAATCCGATGCATCACGCAATTTGATTTTTATCCACATAACCAATAGAACCGTTCTCATGCCAACAGTTGACAGTTTCAAACGTAAATGCGGTTTATCACATCGTCATCGTATAGCGAAATACAGTGAAGCGAACTTCTCTTATTGCTGCCGAACTCGCAATGCATACAAAATTTGTTCTAATATGTAAGGTGGACAGCGGTTGGACCAATTTTGAAAGGGGAACGATTTCATTGAAATACAATATATGAGTACAATAGTTGAACGGTCTAGACCATTTTCGCTGATAGCTTGGCTTGTGAGGATCAAGGTTCAAACTCGTCACTTTCTGCTCATTTGGTATCTGACATAATCATTTGCTTTTCCACTAAGTACCGGTGTTTAAATTACCGGCTATCGTCCAACCAGTTTTACAGTTTGTCCCCAAAAAGCAATTCCTTCGATTAAGGATATGGAAACTGCAAACAGTGTACGGCATTGTACAAGTGCGTTTTTGTCCAATTCACACCTTATCTGGTGGACACTAACTGGCACCAGTCTCGTCGCTTCAGCGCAGGTGGTCAACTTATTCCCAACCGGAAAGTCAAGATTCAGCGATGGTTCGAACATTTTAGTAAACTGTTAAACCGACTTACATCGTACACAAGCGTTCAAATCGGAGATCCCCAATCAGGTCCGTTCAAAGTAGATTGTGAGGCACCTAACAGACCAGGCATTGTCGCAGCAGTTGATAAACTAAAGAGCATGTAATCCCGGTAGAAGTGTGCCGAGCTTGCCTCTGCTATAGTGAATCCTCTTCCTATTGATCAGGAACACCGAAGTATTTCCCACAGATTGGATGGTTTTTTCCGATTTCTATGGGAAGTGTAAGCAGTTTGGACCAACGACAAGATCATAGTCTTATCTATTGTTCTTCTGAACCGTTCCATATCTGAAAGGGGTGTTTGCTCTCGACCAAGTCAGAGGTTTACGTTGCGAAATGGGGTTTGTCAACCGAACCTTCACACTCCTAATCGCTTAAGAACTACCATTATAGGTTCCGACAGCCAAATAAGGCCTTCTTCATAGTCTTGCATTTCGTATTCCGTTCGGTCAATCATAAAAGATGAAATCCCGAAAATCCAGAAAACCTCTCAGGGGCCTATTATTCAGCAGCATGGGCAAAGACTCATCGGAATTCTCACTGAACTCAGGTGTGACCTAGGGGTATCCTCTCTCCCTCCCGCATCGTCTAACTACGCAGCGGACTGGATAATGATGCCATCATTAGATGGCTACACCGGTATCCAGTTAAACCCGGAGATTTTAAATTTCGATTGATACTATTCTGATCTGTTCCGTTTCGGTTTTCACAACCATTAACCATGCATCGATTTTGGTTGCCCGTTTGGATAAATGAGCAGAAAGAAGATGGGAACGTTGAGACCAAGTTCCAGGGGAAGATAGAATTAATTCAGACTGGTCGTCGGTGTGGGCTGCCGCGAAGTATGCCGAGCCCTTCGGTACCCATTTGGAAAACCATCTTTCCCATCTGTCTAGTCCTTCTCAATCCCGAATATTCCCAGGTGCCTCCTGCTTACGAGACCCATCGCATATCAATCAGCGTTCAACTAATAAGGTCAACCACTCAGAGGCTGCTAGATTTGTGAAACCAAAATCCCCTCTTCACTTAGCCGCACTCAATGTCCGTATACTCTACCAGATCGGTCAACAAGCAATCCCAGCCAACAAAACTGACAACGGAGAACGCCTACTCCAGCTTTTTGCTGACCACGGACTGTTTCTGTCAAGCACGAACTTCTCGCACAAAAAACGGCACCGCCCCTACATGTAGACCACCAACTTCTTCACAACGCTGGACTCAAATCGACCATATCGCCATCAGCCACCGCTGGAGAGGATCCTTTGAAGACTGCCGCTCCTGCTGGTGAACACCCGTAGACACGGACCATGCTCTGCTACGAGTGAGATTCTCCCTACGCCTGATAAACAACCACAGAAAAGCCGCCGAAAACGGGTGCACACAATACACTATCACCGACAGTTGCAAATCGGCCTTCGAAGCGGAACTATCAGATCGCCTCTTAACTCAACCATCAGTCGGAGGACTCAGTGAACACAGGCCGGCAATCAAGGAAGCGATCCAAATTTCAATCAAAACAACGGCGAACTCTGGCGCACGATCAAAGCAAAAACGATGGATCTCCTCAACCTCGGTTGCCCTGATGGACGCTCGCAAAGCCATTCAATCGGATTCAAGATACGACAAAGCGCGCAAATCCCTTAAACGCCA